TTCATTCCAATTTTAGTATGTAACAATTGTTAACATTTTTAGAAACATATCTAAATTAAACATGATTTCAGTGAAAATTTTATCTTCTTGTACAACATCAGATGTCAAGTCTTACAGTCTATGAAATACACCTCGTTTCTTTTTGTATGGGCGGGTCTGAGAAAATGCATAATTGACCATTATACGAGTAATTATTTAAATGAGCAGGTCGAACAACTAACATTTTACATACCAAGTTTTGATTCCTATATGTGAAATAAAATATATGAAAAGGTGTGATCTTGGGACATTTTTGGCCCCCAAAATGGCTGCCAATGGCTATCTTGAATCGCGATGCATGGGTGAAGTTTAAACATTCCCACCAATTTGTGAAATTCAGCTGGATATGGACAGACAGACAGATCAATCCACAAGTCCCACATTTGCAGACTTTGAATGGGGACTGAAACCTGACTGTTTCGTGGTCACATTATGTACACACAGAAATTTTTTAATTTCACATGTCATTTTAACAAATATTAGTGAAAATGTCAAAGAGTTTACATTATATACAGAATTTTTGTTAATTTATAGTGCTTTCTCACTTGACCCTGAATTTATTTAAACTATAGAAAAAGACAGGTGGGTCCACAGATTGTATATGATATTACTAAGTGAACTAAGATGACTTGCATTAATATCTCCAAATGCCAACGTTGATTACTATGCTAGTCACAGCTAGGAAATGTCAGTCAAATTAAACGAAAAGAGTAGGTAGGAATAAATCGACACATGCATTAATAACTATTTAGATTTTTTTGAACCGCATCAGTGTGTGTTACCAATCCATTTGGAAGGATTATTATTGAATTTAGGTGAATGTTATACTGAATGTTACTTGGCAAATAAATATGAAAATAATTGTGTGAATCAGAATATGGCCATTTATTATCAGATGTAGAGGCTGGAGGTAGAACATAGCATTGAAACAACAGCTAAGAAGATATCAGCAGATGGGCAAAGTTTTGTCTCATCTTGCTGAATACAAAAATACTGTCAGGTGCAGGGATGCTCTCTTTACACAAATCCTAAGATTCTCAAGAAAACAGGAGGCTGAATTATATTGTGAAATATTTTATTTTCGCTGAAATTAATTTTCGCTGTAAAGACATTTTATATGGAAATTATTTTTACTGTTTTTTGATGAGTTGAATGTGAAATATAGGAAAAAACGAGTATATTCGCTGGATTTTATTTTTACGGAAACATCCTTTCAGCAAAAATGAAGTATTCTACAGTATTCTTTTACACATAGTATTTGGAAAAGTAGGTGGTTGAGTCATATGGACAAGAGCACACTGGTAATTGGCCTGCAACCATCTTCTATGTAAACCTGTATTATATATTTTTTTTTAAGTATGCACAACTTTCATCAAATGGGAATGAACACAAAATATAAAATGCCTCCCTTGAAACAATGCATGTTGAGAAAGAAAGGTCAAGTACAGGTAGTTATAGAAAAAAACACATCAATAAACACAAATCGAAAACCTCACAAAAGCAAATGTGTTTTGGTAGGATTAAAGCAGAGGGGTTGTCACCTGTGCATGCACAGGAATCAAGTCTAAAGTGACGATAGCGAAAACTAAAAATGCAGAAGCTCATGGGTAGACGCTATAGCCCTCTCCCCAGCAAATCACTATGATGACCAAAATGGTTGCATTTACAGAAGTACACAAACAATATACTTTATGTATAGTACAAGTACACGTTACATAAGATACACATCGACCATTGAGTCCCCAAACAATTTTTTTCAATTGTTAATCTCAATTGCCTATATCTTAACAAATGTTCAACACAAAATGGTTGTCATTAACGCTATGGGAAAATATTGTTTCCATGCAAACAAGTACATCATGATGGAACCTTTCATGAAGCAAAATACCAATAATTTATATAGCTTTTAAATTTTTCCAATTTTTACT